CGAGTGAAGGCAGCAGTGATCTAGGGGGTAATGCCCAGGATTCGCCGATGCTGTCACTAATCGAAGGTAAATGTACATACTTTTATTTTTTATTATTATGAATTAATAAATGGGTTTATGTTTGCTTGCAAAATCTGTACAGATTCCGGCAACAAGAACTTTATTGTGTAACATCAGTGTGCGGTGGACAATTTTGTAATAGAACATAACCTATTTTCATCAAATATCTAGTAAAATATGATACCTAGCTATTCTATCGTTACGAGATAAACAAAATACTTAGCAATATAGCTTTGTAAATAATTTTGTAATTCGTAACGGCTAAACAGCATGCCAATAACGGAAAAGTGTTAATTAACAAAATAGCTAGGTATGTCTTGCATTCCACTACCCACATATATATTATAGTTACGAGATAAACAAAATACTTAGCAATACTGCTTGGAATATAATTTTGTAATTCGTAACTGCCATTTTAATTATGGCCAAGTGCAAAGTAACGAAATAATTATGCTTTATGCACTATTCTTCCAGATGGCCATGATCCGCAAATGGTGGATTCTATCGAACTTATTGAATCGCCCGGCCTACCCTCACAAATTGAGAATCTGGAACCTACCCCAGGGCCATCCACGGTGGTGGAGGCAGGCCCTGATGAATGCGTACTAGACGAGGATATCCTCGAATTGTTAGGTGCGACCCCATCAAAAGCCAAAAAGATGGGAGATAAAATTCAAAAGGATATAGCACTTCGATGGGAGCACATTGCTACCTCAGGCCTCTCAAAAGAGACTAGAAAAGAGCTTCTCGAAAAACATTTGGTACCTGAGAATTGTTCAAAATTATCTGCGCCAATTTTAAATGCAGAAATTAAAGCCGCCTTACATGACACATACGTAGTTAGGGACAAAGCCTCTGAGAACAAGCAGAACCAGATTGCAGCAGCTATTGCTTGCATTGGGGAAGCTCTCACAAAAATGCTTAATTCGGACCTTAAAGACCCTCTAGTTGTAAAACCCTTACTTGAGGGTGCTCAGCTTCTCTGCGATAGTCAATTCGTTGAATCGATGAAAAGGCGGAGTCTTATTGGTGCATCGATTAAAAAGGATATTAAAAGCCAACTTTATGAGACTCAAATAGATACCCACCTGTTTGGTGAAAAACTGGCTGATACCCTTAAAACAGCAAAGGCTATTAGTAAATCCGGGTCAGAGATAAAGGCATCTAAAACAAAATCAGTAGTGTCACGAGCAAAATCTCGTAATTTAAACTTCAAGCCTCAGCTGGCGAACAGCAGGCAGCCAGTCAGGAGGCGACAAGAGCCTGCAGTATACCCGATGGCACCAGCCACACAGTTCCCGTACGTTTCAACACAACGGCAACAGTATCTGGCACCGATGCTACCACCTGCCCCAGTGCAGCCGCCGCTGCCTCCAGCGCAGCTGCCGCCACCGCCACCACCGCCGCCGCCACCGCCGCCGCTACAGCGATCCAGGCAACGGCCCTACCAGCGCCGTTAGATCCGGTATGTTGCACTGGCAGACTTTCCTTATTCTATCCTCAATGGTGTCAACTAACAAATGACCCCAATATTTTGTCATGGGTCCAGGGTTATAAAATACCGTTTTATAAACCAGTAGTCCAAAAACATGTTCCAAAAGCCCCTAGGTTAACACCTCATGAGATTGCTCATCACAAGGAAGCCATAAATAATCTTCTAAGATCAGGCGCTATCTCTGAGTGTTCGCCGTGTGAGGGTCAATACTTATCTAGCTATTTTTTGATAAAAAAGAAAAATGGTGCTCCACGGTTTATTTTAAATTTGAAACGCTTAAACAAATTTATAAAGACTGATCATTTTAAGTTAGAGGATCTTAGAACCACATTAAAGCTAGTATCGAAAGATTATTTTATGGCTTCCTTAGATCTTCATAATGCATATTTTTTATTACCAATCAATGAGGCCCACAGAAAATATTTACGTTTCATGTGGCTGGAAAGAACATTTGAATTTAATGTTTTACCTTTCGGATTATGTACGGCACCATATGTCTTCACTAAGATACTCAAACCAGTTATGTCGTTGTTGCGGTCCTTAGGGTATCTATCCACCATTTACTTGGATGACATCTGTTGTATAGCGCCAACTTATCAGGAATGTTTAGAAAATATCTTACAAACAAGAAATCTGCTACAATCTCTTGGCTTCATTTTTAACGAGGAAAAGAGCTGTACCTCCCCGTCTAATAAATGTACTTATCTTGGTTTTGTAATTAATACAAAAGATTTCAATGTAAGTTTAACTGATGACAAAAAAAACAAGATTGTAGCAGAGCTTAATAGATTAAGTCATATGCAGCGCTGCTCTATACGATATTTCGCTCGTGTTGTTGGTCTTCTCATCTCGGCTTGCCCAGGCGTACAATTTGGCTGGATGTATACAAAAGAGATGGAAAGATGTAAATATCTGGCACTCTTGCAGTCGGAAGACAACTATGACTGTCTTATGAATATACCAAAGTCTGTACTAGAAGACATTCAATGGTGGAAGAAGGCAATAACTAATGCTATTAATCCCATTAGAGAAGATAATTACATCTTGGAATTTTTTTCTGACGCTAGCAAAACCGGTTGGGGGGCGGTCTGTGATGGGAAGACCGTAAATGGCCATTGGAGTGTTGAAGAGGTTGCTCAACACATTAATTATTTAGAGTTGTTAGCCGCTTTCTTCGCGTTGCGAATATTTGCATCAGATATGCACAATTGTCAGATACTTCTCAGGATTGATAATACGACAGCTATATCTTATATCAACCGTATGGGTGGCATAAAATTTCCACACCTTAATAAGTTAGCAAAGTACATTTGGCAGTTTTGTGAGAATAGAAACATCTTCATCTATGCTTCTTATATTAGTTCCAAAGATAACGATATAGCTGACGCAGAATCTCGACGGCAACACCCTGATACAGAATGGGAACTTAGCAAACAGGCGTTTCGACTTATAGTTGATAAATTTGGTACTCCAGACGTTGACCTCTTTGCAACGAGAATAAATACTAAGTGTACTTATTATGCATCATGGCAACGGGACCCGGGAGCGTTTGCTGTCAACGCTTTTACTATTAATTGGAACGGTTTTTACTTTTATGCTTTTCCTCCGGTGTCAATAGTGGCAAAAGTTTTACGGAAAATTATTACAGATAGGGCACAGGGTATAGTTGTAGTGCCTTATTGGCCTACTCAAGCTTGGTTCCCTCTTTTTAACCGTCTTCTTGTGTCGGACCCAATTATGTTTGGACCACATTGCAAAGCGTTAATTTTCCCCAACAGCTCGGCGACCTTGCCACAGCTAAGACTTATGGCCGGGAGATTATCAGGAAGGCTTTCACAAGAAGAAGTGTGCCAGAAAACTCGTTAGATATAATTTGCTCATCATTGTCTGATTCCTCAATTATGCAATATACAACAGCATTTAAGCGCTGGTTTAGTTTTTGTGATTCTATTAACATTGACTATTATGAGGCGTCAATTCCACATATTATGTTTTTCTTAGCAGACATGTTTAAAACAGGTGTGCAGTATGGAACTCTAAATTCTGCCCGTTCAGCATTATCCCTTATTATTGGATCTAGAGTGGCCTCTGACGATCGAATCAACAGATTATTTAAGGGCTTTTACAGACTTCGAACACCGTTACCAAAATACAAAATCACATGGGATACCTCAATTGTCCTTGAGTATCTAACAAACCTTTATCCCAATCATGAACTATCTTTAGACCAATTAGCTAAGAAAACCATAACGCTTCTAGCGCTTATTTCTGCGCACAGGGTTCAAACATTATCACTTGTAAAAATTAATAATATAGAACACAATTCTCATATGCTTCGTATTAAGATTCCAGATACAATAAAGACCTCTAGATTAGGAGCCTATCAACCGTACTTAAGTATACCATTTTACCCTGTAAGACCTGAAATTTGTCCTGCCAACGCGTTACTTAGCTATATTGAAATGACTAAACCTCTGAGAGATAATATTGATGAATTATTTATTAGTGTAAGGAGGCCATATAAATCAGTTACCAGTCAAACTCTAAGTAAATGGATTAAATACATATTAAATGAAAGTGGAATTGACACCTCTATTTTTTCTGCCCACTCCACTCGGCATGCAAGTACATCCGCAGCCAGTAGACTTGGAGTAAACATTGATATGATCAGGAGCACTGCTGGATGGAGTGGCAATTCAATGACATTCGGAAAATTTTATAATAGGCATATTGAAAATAAAAATACAGAAAATTTTGCGTTATCAATTTTAGATAATGTTTAATGATTTATCAAAATATTTGATACTTATACAGTAGTTATATAAGATGTTAAGTTTTGAAACCAGATTCACAATTATTATAAAAGTATTATGACCATGCAATCATTGTGTATTAAGTTTAGTTGATTCTTTGAAGTCAATTATGAATTAACTATGAATAATATATGTATTGTTAATATAAATATCACATTTATTTGGAAAATATATGTTTGTTTCTTTTTTTCTAAAACAATGTTGTTTTTCTTTTTTGTTACATTTTATTGACACATTATTAAAACATTATTTCAACATCTCTCAAGATCTACAATGGTTCTCTAATCTCGAGGATGAAGCACAAAGTATAATTGATGATTAAACGAACTTACCTGTATGTGAAGTTCAATCACAATTATACGAGGGCTTCATCCGAAGAGATTAGAACCCATCCCTCCCAATAAGTACCCCTAGAGGCGAAATAATATTTTAAAAAAAGATAGGCATAGATGACATAACATTATCAAATATTATGTCTGTACTAGGCCTAGTTCTTATGATAATTCTTTTATAGCTACGTTTTACTTTAAACTATATGATGCTTGTACCGATTGGCCGTTGGGCTGTGAGTTTGGTGTGGCCAACAGCAAAGTATTGCCACTATAAATTTAAAAAATCCACTATTTGATTTTTTAATTTGTAATTTTTTTTTTAACTATAGTGTTAGACTAGCTAGCCGCTATGCGAAACTACAATGGTTCTCTAATCTCTTCGGATGAAGCCCTCGTATAATTGTGATTGAACTTCACATACAGGTAAGTTCGTTTAATCATCAATTCTTGACACATATATTTTTTTAAATCTATATAATGTGTTCGTTTCTGATTATTTTTGTACTGCTTAGTGTACCCGTTTGCAACGCGTCGGTATATACTATATGATGTAAGATCGTCTGTATCATAGGTTCTATCTATTACACCATCACTATCATCGCCGAGGATATCTTTGGCTGTGGTTAATTGTGCACTCTTTTTCTCTTTCAATTTTTTTTTCTTTTTGGCTCTCGTCCTGAGGAATAAGAAATTCTAGTAAAAATAACGTTTAATAAATTAATAATAATGTTATGGCGCCCATACACACACACATACACACACTACATTTATTTGGTCAAGTACAATTCAAATGTGAATACTATAAACTGTGATTAAGAGAATTTTATAATATTAATAACATTATTATTATGATAACTCACTCTTTATTTTTCTCCATTTTACCAACCCCCACAATGTCTTTCAAGGGATCAATCAATTTAATGTCTTCCTTGGATCTGAAATGCAATGTAGTAAATTAACATGATGTGTGGATTAAGTGACAAATAAAGTAACGTATATTATTATTATTACTGTTAAAAAAAAAAAACTAGGGACAAATTATTTTAAACATATTTTTTAAGTATATGTAGTGTTGTAATACTTTCATTTAAAAAATATATATAATGAATAACAACTGAAAAAATGTTTTAGGTAATCGATTATGTTTCCAAATCTACATAGAATAACAATAACATGATCGTATAAAGTCATTCTTGATATTAGTTTTATAGCAATTACTAAATACAATAATTACCTTTTCAGTTTTCTCTTAGTATCGCTTTCTTCATGTTTTCTCTTTCCCTTTCCCTGTAGAGCTGATGATGGACCGGGCTCCGGTTCAGTAATAACCGGTGGAGCTGATGATATATGTTTTACTGTCGCGATACTTGATGATGAAGACGAACATGAAGAACTCGATGATGTTGAGGAATCATATGCATCGTCGTTGAAAATATTGTTCTTAGACCTGAAAAAATTATAATAATTAATAACACTTTCAACATTAAGTAAGTATATGTATTTATATTACCACAGATAGAAATAATTGTTTATTCAATGATTTTTTTATTTTATTATAATAATTTCAGAGTATTTAGATATAGTTACTTGAGTATTTAGTGGTCAAGGGACTTTAAGAAAAAAAAATGAGTATCATATACCCAAATAATTAACTGAAACTATAGAGTTTGAATATCAATTAAACAATAAATTAATTAATACTTACATTCTCAGGAAAGTATGTAGCGTTTTAAATTAAAATGAAATTCAATGAAATTCTGGAAGCGCACCAAGATAACTGATGATTTTATCGTAATTGAGGGGATATATTTATAAGTTGCGAAGGTTTTATATGTGTTAATCTTTATCATACAGACCACGAAAATAGCAAGCTAAGCAAAAAGTCAAATTGATATTATCGATTGTTGAAATCGAACACTCAGAAAAAGACAAATTAAAAGGTAAATTTATATTGCAACAGCAGGACTGCAGATGTTCTATTGGAATGCATCTTTAAAAATGATAATAAGAAACACATGATAAAAACATAGCATTTTGAACTTTAATATTAAGTTCTGGGCCCATAACCTGTAAATGAGGCACAGAGCGACGCTTAAAGAGAGTTTATTTTTATAATGTAAAAACAAATAAAAACGTGAAAAGCCCATAACCTGTTTGTTTGCATTTGTAGCATTTTATGACTTTTGTAGTTGCTTTTGTCGTATCAACTGATCTGGTGTTTACATTTTTTGTGTTTCTATATTTTAACCGATGCCCACCTTTCGCGACAAAAGCGTTTTCTGAACAGGAAACCTTCTCAATTTCACTACACATATCCATCAATTTTGTTTTAATAACGTCTGCACTTATTTCAATGCCTGAATGCTCTATGGCCATTAACATAGGCCCATATTTTTCGGGTAATCCTGCTAACATTAATACACCGATCCATTCATCGGTAATTTTGAAACCTGTACCTTGAAGTCGCTGTCCCGTTTCTATTATCTGGGTTACGTATTGAGTCATGGAGTCACAATTGTCCAGTCGAATGTTGATGAGTTTGCGTAACAAGCTTATTTTCCTCGTGTAGCCGGCGTCATCAAACATATTCTTCAACTTACTCCATAAATCATATGTGGTTGCTGCATGCTTTATATGTACGTAAAGTGATGGATCAATTGTCAATACTAGTTTCGCTTTAGCTTTGGCATCTTCATTAATTTGTACTGTTGTGGGCGTAGCCGGTAAATTTTGCGTAATGGCGGACGCCATGCCTTCTAACACTAGTACATTTTGCACCGCAAAGCACCAATCTTCATAATTTTCGCGTCCTTTCAATTTAGGAATGTTAGCGATATAGTTAGACGTCATTTTACAACTTTTACTTTATTTATTATAACGTAAAAACAAATAAAAACGTGAAAAGCCCATAAACTGGAACTATTATAAAAATAAACTCTCTTTAAGCGTCGCTCTGTGCCTCATTTACAGTAAGTTCTATTATTTAAATAGTTAACACACCAGTTTAGCATTGGACCCCGTATGCCACTGTCCTTAAGTTTTAATATTAGTGTTTTATGTCTTAATGTATCAAAAGCACGACTGTAATCAATAAAAACCATCAATACATTATTTCTTTCATCTAAGCACTTATTAACGTGATCAGCAAAAGTTGTAAGCAGTTGTGTAGTGCTTTTATTTACTTTCGAGACTAGTATTTATTAATCTAGCAATTGGCCCGGCAATTTTTTCATTTAATAGTTTAACGTCTGCCGGTCGTATCCCGTCCCCACCTGGAGATTTATTATGATGTATTTATGTTCTTGATAATTTTGTATATATCTTTAGCATGTGCTTTTTTTACATACATTGAAACATTACTTGATTTTTGGTATTCCTGTGATTTAAGTAAAGGAAATGGACATTTTGGAAGGATATTTTTTTACAGCTTTATCGAATTCGCGCGCAAAGTTATTTGAGACATCCTATTCCGATAATTGGCTGTTATAGAAAGCATTTTTTATTATATCATCTACAGACTGTTTTTTCCTGCCAGTCATAATGTTAAGAATTTGCCATAACTTTCTTTGATCGTCTTTGCAATCATTTATAAGTGACTTGTAGTATATATTTCGAGTCTTTAGAACTAATTTATTTGTTTTATTTCTTAATTTATTATATTCTACTATAAGTATTTTGTTAGTACTGTCCTTTTTTAACTCCAAGTATTTATTATCTCTAATTTTACACATTTTAATCAATTTTGTATCTACCCAAGGCTGTTTTCTTATTTGTTTAATATTATTTATTTGATATTTAGCAGCTTCGTAGCACTTAATTATACTGGAATTAATACACCGATTAATTTCGTTAGGACAGTTCAATTTATCTATATTTTCCCAATTAATACGATCGAGTTCGATTCCTAATGTATAATTATTGTAACGAGTTACACGCATCGACGGCGCAACCGGTTTATTGTTTGTCGATTTGTAGGTAATTACTGTGAGGCAGTGATCCGCTAGTTTAGTCGCGACCGCTGCACAGTAAGTGTCTTGCGCATGAGACCGCACAAAAATATGATCGAGACAACTTTTTGTTATGATCCCGTTTCTGGATTCAATTCAATTAAGTCGCGAGTCGAGTACGAGTTCAATATGGAATTTAGTTTTCTAATAAAGTGCTTCTTACAGTTATTCGGCGGTCTAAGGGCAGTATGTTCACTATTGTTCCTGCCGTCTTTCGAATGTTTTCATCGTCTCTTTGTGGTAAACCGGTAATTTCAATATCTAACAGAATACGTTCTTGGGCAGTTTCGTTTATTCGCTGTTCTATCGCTTCGGTATTTTTGTTTGCATGATTTATGTTTTTTTTTTTTTCTAGCTCTTTGCATTTATCCAGTTTATCACTCATGAATTGAAGAGATTTCTTGGTTTCGCTTAATTCTCGTTTTAATAATTTATCAATTTCTTTAGACATCTCCTTCAGAAATTTCTTAGTATCAATTGAACACATTTCTTTTGGGTCCTCCAGTTCTTCGTCTTTATCATCATCTTCTTTAAAATCAAAAGCACTCTTCCTGCTCCCACCCACTGAGCAGTCAGAACAGGTCCACTCCAGGTTTTCAGCTAGCCGTAGAGCAGTGAGCTGGTTAGTAGTAAGACCAGCACACACTGTTACACTGTTATTTGATATTATACATACTAAAATAACTGAATATCTTTACTCTAGAATTACCTGGGCTAAGGATAAAAATAAATATAGTACCAGAGCTTCCTCTTATATGATACAGACGCCGAAACATCATTCTACTGCTTTCCGGGGTTCTTTTAATTACTCAGCTTCAAAGTGCTGGAATAACTTGCCACCTCCTATTCGTACGCTAAAAACAAAGCACACTTTCAGCAAAAGGTTAAAGGCATATTTATTACAGTCACAGATGCAGTAAGGTTTCGGTATGATGTTTTTACTTACTGCTTAGGGTTGATTTGGAGAAATTTCCTTTGAGTCCGTCTGTAATTTCGGACGGTTATAAACTGTGTTTTTTTTTATTAACTTTCTTTTTTATTGAATAGAAGCGATATCCTAGTAATTCATAGTGTATAAAGTTTCAACTGCCACGTCGGCAATAAAATGTGTGTACGTTTTTGAACGGAGTAACTGTATACGTGTCATAAGTCAATTTGACATAATAATTATGTACACAGAATCAATTCCACTCAGCCTTAACGTTAGTGTAGTCGTATACGTTTTCTTTTCTTTTTTTTCTTTTTTTTAATTATGATTATTGTGTGTTATTATCAATTACGGATATTATATTAATATAGATATTGTGCTCCGTGGTGTCATTGCTGGTCTCTGCAGAATATCAGTGCAGCGGGTCTTGCCTGCTGCTTACACTGAGCTGAGTCCAGCGTTGGCATCACATAGCATTCGCAGCAACCTGTTTTTAAAAATATTTGTATTCAGCCCTATTTAATGTTGTTGTGTATGTTATGTGGTTTCAACAATAAACGAATTTTCTTTCTTTCTTTCTTTCTTTCACACACACTTTTTGCGTGAACTATCGCATCACACTTATTACATTCTAGTGAAGGGGTCTTTTTTGATATGGATTTATTGCACTGCGTACACTTTGACATTGTGGGTAGTAGCGGAGTCGAAATCTAAGTTATTACTTATTACTGATTACTAATTATTTCAAGTAACCAATTCTAAGGCACTATAACTCAATGATAAAGACAGCCCAGAAAGGCAGTATTTTTTTTTAACAGTTATCCAAACGTCCGTTCACTACGATACTTCGTGCGACATCTGTTTTCGACCTCTGTTCGGGCGATCGTCATTTCTTTTGGGGGTGGGTTCGGATGGGGGAGTACAGTTGATTGTCACGGAGGGGGAGATTTCGTTTACGCGTCAGTATGGCGGCGGCGATAGCGGCCATTTTGTTTCGGAAATGAAAAATCGTATTTTTCCTGTGAGATTTTCTCCAAGAGAGCGGCAACAGACGGGTTCGTGTTGTATTTTTTTTTTTCGTTTATTGATAGGACCACAAACAAGTTTACAATTCATCTTAATTAGCTTATTTACTAACATTAATTACTTATTGTAAACTCAACAACGATGGCCTCGTTTTACATATCAACTTTATTAGAAATGTGAAACCCATAAAGCTAGACATTATATTAAATAACGATATAGTTTGTAGTAATATTGTTAATGATATTTTAATAATACGATATAATAAGATTTTTAATTATAATGTTGTCCGTGTGTATATATAGTAAATGAATTTTCTTTTTATCTTGTTATGTTTATAACCTATTTCCTATAAGTATTAAAGCTATACCTGTAATGGTATTGTTAGTTATATATAAAAAAAGTAATATAAAAAAGATGAATGTAAAATTTCATAAGGTAGTCCTTCTCGCATAGGTAGTCCACAGCACAGATCCATACTACAAGTATGGCAACCGTACTGTTTAGCTATAGTATAGTTTATGTGTATCTGTGGTTATGGTTAGTTTAATAACAACATCACTTGCGTGTACATGTTTGTGTGTACTAACTAGATCAAGTACTTAAAAACCAATACATAAAGTGATAAAAAAAAAGTTGTCTTTCATGGTTAACAGCACACCAGGTTATCAACAATCGCCAAAATATTAAGATTTGATCAAGCTAATGTTTGATATTAAGTGATTACCCAATGGGCTGCACCGCACATATTTTTGATCATAACATATCCGTGGGTGTTTGATATAACTTATTTGAAAGTAATTCTACTATCTGTTTCTTGTACCTACCTGAGTTATTGCTAAAAATATCTACTGTATGAAATTGTTTGTTGTATGTAACGACCATACGATGCAAAGGAGATCGAGTGCCAGCATTAGTACGAGTACGAGTAACAGCAAACAACGGTTTAGGACGCAGAGATCGCAAATGTGCACGTGATGGGACTGAATAACCAATACGGTTGATGATATCCACACAATCATACTTATTATTACAAAAGTCATACAACAACATAGCATCAAGTTGAGAGCGTCTTGATTTTAGGTCTAGTAGTCTATATTCTCTTAAAAGGTGCATATATGAAAGACGTTTGCGATGGCACCTAAAGTTAACACGTCGCAGAAACTTTTTTTGAACCATTTCAATGTTGTGACTGTATTTTTCATATAACGGGTTCCATATCGAGACTCCATATTCTAATTGAGACCTGACTAAAGATGAATAAAGTGTTATATATGTACTTGGATTTTTAAATTCATTAGATGATCTCATAACGAGCCCATACATTTTGAAAGCTTTGCTGATTATGTTTTGTATGTGAATGTCCAAATCTAGTTTATAATCAAGGGTGATTCCAAGATCCCTAATATTATTGACTCTGAGAATATCGGTTCCACCAAGGGTATATTTAAAATGGCTTCTCTTCTTTTTTTTGTGAAAGTTAAAATTTTACATTTATTAAGGCTGAGTTGTAATTTATTTAGTAAACAGTAAGTGTTAAACCTGTCAATGTCTTCTTGTAGAAACCGATGATCCTCAAATTTGTCAATATAACGATAAATTTTAAGATCATCTGCATATAGCAGAAATTTACTATATTTAAAGCACCCATCAACATCATTAATGAACATAATAAACAAAAGAGGACCCAAAATGGAACCCTGTGGTACACCAGAAGTTACATTTGCGATCTCCGATTCAGAACCCTTCACCACAACTCTCTGCGTTCTGTTTAAGACATACGATTTGAGCCACCTCCAGAGATTTCCACGTATACCATTGTATGCTATTTTTTGCAAAAGTATTCTGTGATCAACCACATCGAATGCCTTCCGGAAGTCGGTATATATGCTGTCAACTTGCCTATTATCATCAATAGCATGAAACAGCTCAGTAGTATAGATGACTAGGTTTGTTATTGTGGAACGTCGCTTCACAAACCCATGTTGTTCCTTCAAGATAACGTTATGCAATAGTGGATAAATCGAGTTGTGTACCAGTCGTTCGAATACCTTAGCAATAACGAGCAGAATCGATATTGGGCGATAATTTGTGACGTCATTTTTTGGGCCATCTTTATATATTGGAACTATTCTGGCACTTTTCCAAACTTTGGGAAATACTCCATCAGATAAGCACATGTTAAATATATAACATAGAGGGAAATCAATCACAGTTGCAGTTTCCTTAAAGAATATAGCCGGAATGTTATCAGTACCTGCCCCTTTAGAAGTATCTAATCGTTGCAATGTTTTACGAACCTCTGATACAGTGAATACGACATCACAAATTTCAAGGTCATGGGCGCTTTGAGATGGCAAATGAATGTCATCAATGCTAAAGTCTTCTGACAAGGATGATGGTTGGAATACAGAGTGAAAAAACCTATTAAATAGTTCACAACACGACGCAGGACCATGAGCAACAGAATCTTCATAATATACATTGCTAGGTATAGCAGAATTTTTCCTTCGTTGTGATATATACTTCCAAAAATACTTAGCATTGTCTTTTATACTGTGTTCGACCCTCATTATATATTTCTTGTAACATTTTTCTAACAAATTATTACATTTTTTTCTATATATAGAAAAAATATGATAGTTGGACTCAACTTTATATTTTTTCCAATTTATCCAAGCCTTGTTTTTTTTATTAATCAGTTTAATTAGCGGAGGTGTGAACCAAATAGGATATGAAGAAGATGTTATAGTTTTTTTCGGTACATTGTGTTCAATAATACTGTAAATTATTTCATAAAATATGGAAACCAATTGTTCAGGCGATCATTGGGCTATCTGCTGACTTTCTACTTTGCTACTATTTTCGTGGTGTTTTATGAGATTTTGGAGAAAAGTGAAATTTGGAAATACGCACTTTTCGCGGAGAACGGACTCAAAGCGGTGTGGCGCCTGGGGAGTCCTATGACTTTTTGTAGTTTTCGTTTCTGCGTGCTGAAAACCCTGGGCTCTACGGTAGAAAACATTGTTTTCGACATGCCCTCATAACCCGAATTGTTTGGGAACCTGGGTGGCCAGCGAAGAAAATCTGTGAATGAGGTCCTGCACCGAATACAGTCGTGACTATGGGAAAATTATGAAAATCAGTATGGCAGCGCCGGCAGCGGCCATTAGCACACATGGCAACATCAGAGCTCTTCGCTTTGTCGAACTGATCGTGCATCACCACTGTCTCTTTCAGATGAGGTGAAATTTTTCCTCAATTGTAGGGTAATTTTGGAGATTTACCCTGAAAAGGTGAAAAGCAGAAGGAGCCGTTTTGAAATTTCGAAAATACCATTTTCCGACGGAGGGCACTCCCTGAAATGACATTTGGCTATTTTCATTATTCTCACCTGGCAACCCTAGTGGTTACGGCGATTTGAAAAATTTTACTTTGTCGACTCTAGCGCGGTCAGTATTGCCACTAGGAAAATGGTGAAAACTGTATCGGATGCACTATCGAGTTGGCATACCGATAAGGATGGTGGCGGACAAACCCACGGCAGTTTTATCCTAAGGCTTGGGTATCGTTAGCACATTGAGCCGATTTTGACGCATTCGAAGACATTTGTCAGCGTTCTTCCGGGGAAACAATTTTTAGGCAAGTAGCTAAAATATTTCCAGGTGAAAAAAATTCTTGAAAATTTTTGATACATTTTGAGATTTTTGAGGAAACACATTTGACGAATTTTGGACGTTTTTAGATGTAGGTATTTTAATTTTAAATAGAGCCACGCTTCGGCATGAATGGGCCGTCTCGATCGGAGTGATACCACGGCCTCACAGAAAACCGACGTGAAGCAACGCTTGCGTTGTGTTTCGTCGTGTGAGTGAGGGTACCGGAGGTCCAACCCCTCCCTATTCCCTTCCCTCTACCCCTCAACCCTTCCCTCTAAGGCCGGCAGCGCGCTTGTAGCCCCTCTGGTGTTGCAAGTGTCCATGGGCGACGGTAATCACTTACCATCAGGTGATCCGTCTGCTCGTCTGCCCCCTATCCCATAAAGAAGAAAATTCAAGATAACTCATGAAATAATTAGAATGATCGACTGGAAACACTGAGAGCAAACAACGTTTGAAATTCAACCTTGATTTTGATCAACTTGGCAGCCCCGTAGGTATTTGGCATGTATGGAGCGATTTCTCTATAGACTTTTTCATGTGGTGGAAAATAATCACCCGATTTTAGGGTACTTTCTTAGATTTACCCCAAAGACTGTAAATATCAAAAGAACAAATTTTAGAACTTGTAAATTGGTATCCGTCGATGAAGGACGCATCCTGAAATCACATTTGACTATTTTCAACGCCGACATCTGGCAACCTTGGCAGCTATGGCGGTTTGTAGATTTAATGCCTACTATTGACGTTTTGGACTCTAGCGCAGTCACTATCGCCGCTGTGCTATATGAGGTTGAAATTTCAAAATTCAAGATGGCGGCTTTAACAGCGACCATTTTATCTAGAAAAGTGATCATTTTTCACGACTTTCACTTTATAGAGCTGATATTGGCGCATAGGATAACATTTTTCAAATTACTTCCAAAATAATATCATCAGCTGAAGTGTTGCCAGATGAAAAAAAAATGTGAACATTTTTTGATACCTTTGGGATTTTTGAGAAACTTTCATGTATTCCATCGATGAAAAAAGTTTTTAATATGTTACTGTTACATTAATAAAATAATTGATGGATCAATTTGAGTGATGAACAGTGAAGAACGTTCGTGTGCTGATTTTGAAAAAGGTTCGCGTGCTGGTTTTGAAGAACGTTCGTGTGCTGGTTTTGAAGAACGTTCATGTCCAGCATGTGTAAGAACATACATCTGTCAGAGAGATTACTTAGATTCTATTACCGTGTGAAAAATACTTAAAATATATTTTTATTAACTTTTAGATTATTTATTTTAGTTAGAAAAACTTACAGCTGTAATTACACAATAGAAATCAATTATACGTCTATACGCCATTTACAAGTTTTCACTTATAATAACAGAAGGAAAAAAGGGAAACCATGCTTACAACAATGACATTACAAGAAGATAAATAATAATTAAACAAACAAATTTAACTACAAATTCAAACACTGTGATCGAAGTAGGGGCTGGTCATCAATCGCCTCACTACTGCAGGTTTTGTATTGAATATGTCAATTGAGGGATGCTTGATGGCAAAGTCATTTAATAATATACCAGCTCTACAGAAAAAGGAATTTCGCCGATAATTCGTATTACATGTCGGTATTCGAAAAGGGCGATAAACACGAAGCTATTTCTTCGGAACATTAATGAATATTTCACCAAGTAATGAGGGAGAATATATATATGTCATTATTTAAAATTTTACGCAAATAAACCTTATCCGCGATGTTTCAACGTATCTGCAGTGGTAGGAAATTATATTCTTTACATCTAGTTTCATAGTTTGGATGGAAATTCCTTCATTTATACTGTAATTATCTAAGAAACTTTTTTTGAATCCGTTCAATTCTATCAATATAAATGTTATCAGTCGGATTCCAAACCTCTGATGCGTGCTCAAGGATGCTACGAATGAAGGAACAATAGAGTACTTTAATTGGTATAATGTTATTGAATTTAGTACATGATCGAATAATGAATCCAATTTTTTTTTTAATTCGACTTACAAAACTGATTACAATCAAAAATATAAACAATACAATTTTCACAAAAATAAACTGGATTGTAACCTTCTAGATGTAAGTACAACATGCATTTTAAAATTAAACATTTTTTTCACAGAAGTGAAATGAATAAAATATGCTTTATTGTACACCAATACAGGACAAAACAATCGAATATAATTAAATTAAATGCACAATTGGCGGCCTTATTACTAAAAATTAATTTCTTCCAGGCAACCTTTGCGTACAGGAAAAAAAAAACTGAATCTAAATTTGGGTAGCTTATGGTGTCTCAAAACTTAAGTAAAGTAAAAAAAAAATAAAAATACATATATTTAATAAATGAATAAAGTAATAAATACCACAAAAACAATAAATTATACATACATATAATATACATACAATATAGCATATACCTACACAAATATAGGAGATTAAGGATTCAAGGTGAGTGATAGATAGTACTCTTTAACCAGTTTTTTAAAAACGTGTATGCTTTGTGCGCGTCTGATAACTTCTGGCAATGCATTCCAAAGACAGGCCGCTTGGACTGAAAATGATTTATTCATGAATTTACTTGCATGCATTGGCATTGATAACTTCAAATTCTCCGATGACCTCAAAACTCTAACGTGCGTGTTGTGAAGGAATTTAAAACGTTCCAAAAGATAAACCGGTGAATAAGGATTGAACAGAATACTGTAAAGAAGGGAAACAATATGTGCATTCCGGCGAAGACGAATTGGCAGCCACTTGAGCTTAGCACGGAAATCGGAAACATGGTAATATTTGCATAAACCAAATATAAATCTAATACAAACATTTTGAAGTCTCTCAAGTTTATTTAACTGCTCTTCGGTAAGGTCTAGATAGCTGACATTGGCATAATCTAAGATTGGGAGGAGTAGAGACTGTGCCAGCGCAATTTTAGTGGCCAGTGGAAGAAAATTTCTAAGTCTTTTTAAGGAACCCGCTGCAGCAAACAACTTACGACTCAATTCTTCTATTTGAAATCCCCAAGTAAGATTTGTATCAATCAATATCCCCAAATTTTTAACACTCTCACAAAGAGTAATCTGAACACCATCGAATATGATGGCTGGTAGCTGTGCATAATTAATCTTATTGGTCAATGTGGAGTTGCCAACTATAATAGCTTTTGTCTTAAGGGGATTCACTTTCAATCCATATGATTTACTCCAACCACAAATCAAATTTAAATCATTGTTAATAATAGTAATGGCTTGAATCCCTAATTGAAGGTCATTCACAAAAACTAGCTGAAGAGCTCTTGAAGCTAAAGAGAGCAAATATAAGCTCAATTGTACATTACACTGCAAATTAAACAGACACCTATTTAACATGAAAATAAGTGACACTGATATTTGCAGATATTGCAAACAGGAACGTGAAACACCAAAACATCTTCTGTGTAAATGTGGACCACTAATCCACAAACGAAGCATACATCTGGGACGACATATAATCAGCCCAGAAGATATAAAATCTCTAAAAGCCAGGAATATAATAGACTTTTTGAAGTCTACCGGGCTAAAGGAGTTACTATAAATCTGGCGGCGAGTCACAATAGATCTTCAAGGTCGCAGTGACTACAGTTCCTCAGGGAACTGCATAGCCTCTTACAGCAATAAATAATAATAAAATACATGTGGGATGAGACAATTGCTAGACGTGGCGCCAATGAAGTGGCTAGTTGTTTGTTTTCTTTTGTCAACGAAAAGGTTAAGGATAGCGTGAAAGATTTTAGATTTTGGTCAGACAACTGTGCTGGTCAGAATCGCAATCGCATTGTTTTTTTTATGTACTTGTATGTAAGCAATACATTTAAGGTAGATGTGTGCCATAGATTCTTGGAAAAAGGCCATACTCAGAACGAGGCAGATAGCGTTCACGCATTAATTGAGCGAACAGCCAAAAACAAAATTATTTACACGCCAGATGAATGGTACACACTGGTTCGCTGGGCAAAACAGAATAGCCCACCTTATAGAGTCATAGAAGTGAATCAAGACTTAGTGTTGGATTTCAAAGCTTGGCTACATACTAAAAACTGGATCAAAGATACAAATTCAGACAAAATTTCTTGGAATAAGATAAGAGAAGTAAAGGTACAAGGGAATAATCCAGACGTTATTGAATTTAAGTACGACTTTTTTGAAGAAAATTACAGAATACTGAACTGTGGTAATAATTTGAAATTGACAAGAGGAAGGAAAAAGAAAGAACAAGAACTAATATTAGAGAAGTTATACAAAAATCCTATCCCTATCACTGATGTGAAATATAAAGACCTGATTAGTTTATGCGATACACTGATTATTCCAAATAAGTATCATGACTTCTATAGAAACCTTAAGCATAGCACTGAAGCACAAGATACTGATAATGAAGGTTGTTAAGTTTAAACTTTTTTTTCTATAAATGTTATTTTCTTACCTGTTATGAAAACTAGTTAGTAATGTTGTTAGTAATAAGATGAATCAGTCTGAATAAAACTGTGATGATTATTAAATATTACAAATTAGGTAGATTAGATAAATAATTAAGCTAAGGCGCATACTCAAATAAAGCTGTGATGATTATTAAAAAATACAAATTATATTTCTAGGCAACTGTGATTTTTGAATGTTTGGTTCCTACTCTAATGAGACTATAAATACCAATTGTTTAGATTTAAGTAATGATCAAATTATTATAAACCTTCTTTAATTAATAAAACAGAATCCTGATAAATTTTATTTAAAAATATGTCTTTGTTTACATTACCAGAAATATATTCCTACCTATCCTAATGAAACCGCATATAAAGCGATATGTCTACGTAGATGTATATTAATCTCTATGGGTGGCGATCTAAAGAAGTTTAATGTATTTATTTGAAAACAATAATATCATTAAACGTTTTCATAAAACATTTAATATAAATTCTATTCTAGATACTGTTTTCTTCTTTCCTGCGTATAAAAAGCTATCTTATAGTTGTCTGACATGCTTTTGTTTTAATATCACTGTATAAACAGTCATCTATTATTTTTTCCAGGAAAACATAAAATAAATAAATATGTGTTTATACTATTATAAAGTTCCTAAATCTAATTAGACATTATAGAAATAAAATATTTATAATTGCACATAGATTTTTTTCCAAAGCGGTTTGAATACAAATTACGTTCTCCTGTAAACCTCGATTTTTGACATGTCTTTTTGTACGTAGGGGCCGTCGATACACACAGACTACGGCGCGAGGGTGAAAATTGTGCTCCAATGTGTATCCAGGATAGCCTAGGTATGCCGAACTCGAT